TGTTATGAAGCCACAGAACTCTTGTCTTAAAAGAGTCTTTCTAGCCAGTTTGATGTAGTGGTTAAGTGCGCAGACTCTAATCTGGGAGAACCAGGTTTGATTCCCCATTCCTCCACATGCAGTTGCTGGATGACCTTGGGCAAACCATAGTCAGAGCTGTCCTTGAAAGAGCAGTTCTTGAAAGAGCTCTCTCAGCCCCACCTACCTCACAGGGTGTCTGTTGTGGAGAGGGGAAGGGAAAGGAGATTGTAAACCGCTCTGAGACTCCGAGTGAAGGACGAGGTATAAATCCAATCTCCTCCTCCTCGACCTTACTGTTTCCAAGACTTTTGAACATACTTGGTGTACACTGATGAAATTACTAAGTCCTCATAATTAGCAAACATTTGATTTATATAACTACAAAAACCAACTGAGCCATTGTGAATTATTTCTGGCTCATCATAAGGAAAACTGTTAGTGTAGGATCAATCCACTATGACTCTGAATCACTATCCATACTACTATGCAATGAAGTGCAAAATTATTAATATATAGCTGTTAAGGCTAGATTCTGACACAAGATACACTGCTGATCCAAGACACTTCATTTGTGTGTGAAATTTTCAACTCATTACAATTTACAACCATTTATTTCAATTACATCCTGCTCCCTGTGGTTTCTGCAACTACCACCACCATGTCTTCTCAGCTCAGTGGTAACAGAAGTGTTTACTTATGGGATACCACAGGGCTCGGTACTAGGTCCAGTGCTTTTTAACTTGTTCATTAATGATTTGGAGTTGGGAGTAAGCAGTGAAGTGACTAAGTTTGCAGATAACACTAAGTTGTTCAGGGCAGTGGTCTGTTACAGAGGTATCTATCGAGGCTGGGCGAGTAGGTGTCAATGAGGCAAATGAGATTCAACCTGGGTAAGTGCAAAGTAATGCACATTGGAGCCAAAAATCCTAACTATAAATATACACTGATGGGATCCAAACCAGCAGTAACTGACCAGGAGAGAGATCTTGGAGTCATGATAGATATTTTACTGAAATGTTGATTTAGTGTGCAACTGCAGTAAAAAAGGCAAATGCTATGCTGGAGATTATTAGGAAACAGACTGAAAACAAATCAGCTAGTAGCATAATACCTTTGCATAAATTCATGGTGCAGCCTCATTTGGAATACTGTGTACAGTTCTGGTCACCATACCTCAAAAAGATATAGCACTGGAAAAGGTGCAGAAAAGGGCAACTAAAAAGACTAAGGGATAGAACACTTTCCCTATGAAGAAAGGTTAAAGAGGTCAGGGCTCTTTAGCTTGGAGAAACAACTAAGGGGTGATATGACAGAGGTTTACAAAATTATGCATGGGATAGAGAAGATAGAGAAAGAAGTACCTTTCTCCCTTTCTCACAATACAAGAACTCATGGGCACTAGGAGTATGCTAAAAAACCCAACAATGGTATTTTTTGGGTTTGGGTATATTGAACCCGAAAAATACCTGTATTTCTCAATATTACTGAATCCAATTACCATACCAAATATCAGTATGGTATTCATATTCAGTAAATATTCAGGATTGCTGAATATTCAAGATTGCCATAGGCTATAATGGAGAATGAATCTGGGGGTATCTGGGGCTCTGGGGGACTGTTTTTTGAGGCAGAGGCACCAAATTTGCAGCATAGCTGCTGGTGCCTCCCCTTAAAAACCCACCAAGTTTCAAGAAGATTGGAGCAGGGGATCCAATTCTATGAGCCCCAGAAGAAGGTGCCCACATCCTCCGTTGTTTTCAATGGAGAGGAAAGAGGGCATTTAAATGGATCGTGGTCCCTTTAAATGCCTTCGTCAAGCCACACAAATCTGCAGCAAGTGAACTCTGATGGCATTTAAAGGGCTCGCAGTGCCTTTGAATGCCTTCTCCAAGCTGAGTACACTTCGAACACATTCGAAGGAACTGAGAGCCCTTTAAATGCCTATAATTGTGGCTATTCTGCAGTCCCAAAAAATCCCCAATATTTTCGGGATTTTGGGAGGCAGTCATTTTTGGTGACCCAAATCAGTAGCCCACTCAGTAATTGGCTGAGGAAATACCTGGAAAATACTGATAAGGAATTTTTCAGGTATTTTCTCAGCTCAGTTTATACCGAACGCACACCTCTAGTAGTCATTCAATGAAATTAATGAGCAATAAGCTTAGAACAGATAGAAGGAAGTACTTGTTCACCCAAAGAGTAATTAACACATGGAATTCACTACTGCAAGAAGTGGTGGCAGCTACAAGCATAGACAGCTTCAAGAGGGAATTGAATAAACATATGGAGCAGAGGTCCATCAGTGGCTGTTAGCCATAAGGTATAGATGGAACTCTATGTCTGGGGCAGTAATGCTCTGTATTCTTGGTGCTTGGCAACAGTGGGAGGGTTTCTGGAGTTCTGGCCCTGCTGGTGGACCTTCTGACGGGACCTGGGTTTTGGTCACTCTGTATGAGAGTGTTGGACTAGATGGGCCATTGGCCTGATCCAACATGGCTTCTCTTATGTTCTTATCCATATTGTCTGCAATAAATAGCACGAAATATGTCAGAGAAGGCCAGAAATTTCATGCTGGCCGCAGCTGTACATGTCTCCTATATGATGAGCTTGTGACATAAGTAGGAATCAAAAGCATTCAAAGGTTGAACAGGGAACACTGATACAATTGGATGACACTTTTGTATGGAAAGTGACAACTACAATATGATCTATGTGGGGCTGCCCTTGAAGACTGTCTGGAATCTAGCTGGTACAGAATGCTGCAGCCAGGGGGTTGACTGGAGTGGGTTGTATGGACCAATCACTCCAGTCTTGTTCCACCTACACTGGCTTCCAATTTAATTCTGGGCTCAACTCAAGGTAACGGTATTGACCTTTAAAACCCTGTAACCAAAATCCTTAAGGACTGCCTTCTCCCATATGAACCTACTCACTTACTCTGGTCATTAGCCCTCCTTCTAATGCTGTGTGTTTGTGTTTTTAATTGAATTCTATAATTGTAACTATTTATAATTGTCTAAATGTTTTAATGTTTGTGACTGAGTGGAAAGGCAGCACAAAAACGTTTTAAATAAATACTTCCAATTGCTCCATTAAAATATTTTTAAATACAAATAGACATGTATAAATACGTGATATAACTTAATATGAAACAAACAAGATATAACTTGAACACACATGAAGCTGCTTTACACTGAATCGGACCATTGGTCCATCAAGGTCAGTACTGCCAACGTAGACTGGCAGCGGGTCTCCAGGGTCTCCAGGAGAGGGCTTTCACATCATCTACTGCCTAGTCCTTTTTAAATGGAGATGCCATGTTGAACCTGGGACCTTCTGTATACAAAGCAGGGGTTCTTCCACTGAGCCACAATCCCTCCACAATTGTTATGACCATCAGACCTCTCCTTGCTACATTCTGTGAAAAATCATAGAATTATGCTTTATAAATCTAAATGTGTACAAAATGTAGTCTGAAAGTTTTATTAATACAAAACTAATACAAAAAATTCAACATTTTGACCACAGTACATCTGGAATAGTACAAATGTGAAAAAAATGAATTTCAAAATGTGCTTTTTCATATGATTTTAATTAATTCTTCCATCATAATAGCTTCAAGATGTATTTATATATGGAAGTGAGTGAAAAGAATGAAAGACATAAAAAAGTGGTGGTGGAGATTTTCTAGGAAGTAGATTTGAAAGGCTTTTGCATCTAACTAAGAAGAGCTTTTGTTTCATTTAGTAAAGGTAAAGGTTTCCCTTGCTCGAAAGCCAGTCGAATCTGACTCTAGGGGGCAGTGCTCATCTCCGTTTCCAAGCCAAAGAGTCAGCGCTGTCCGAAGACTCCTCCATGGTCATGTGGCCGGCATGACTAAACACTGAGGCGCACGGAACGCTGTTACCTTCCCACCGAAGTGGTACCTATTTATCTACTTGCAATTTCTTGCTTTCAAACTGCTAGGTTGGCAGGAGCTGTGGCCAGAGACAGGAGCTCACTCCATCATGTGGCACTTGGGTCTTGACCCGCCGAGCTACAGATCTTCCGGTCTGCAATTCAGCGTCTTAACCTCTGGGTTAAGCCACACGTTACCCAACTACTCATATGCTTGACAATAATATCAATAGGTCTTGTATAGATTTTAGGACTTACAAAGTTGTTAATTTAGAATAGTGTAATATGACAAAGCAATCAGCAATCCTAAATTTTATACAAATATAGGGTTGAGCTCCACTAACATTCCTGAAGATCCATGATTGGTTTGAGCTCCCTGGAAATAGGATTTGAGTGTCTCTGTTCAGGCTTATGCTACCATGTGCTTGGGGGAAATCTATTAATGCAGGCGCCATCTGTGCAGAATCTAAGCACACCAATCATTATCATGAACTGACTGATGTAACAACCTAGAATCTTTAAATAGCTGTTCTCCGAGTCTATTCTCTCTCTTGGGGGCAGGAAAGCCAAAAGTATAAGCAAGTCTACAGTATAAGCAAGCAAACTACAGTATAAGCAAGCAAAAGTATAAGCAAGCAAACTAAAATGCATTTTCAGTCACACTGACATTGTACCTAACCAACAGGGGAAAGAAAACACAATATTTTACAGCAAGAGGTATTTCTGTAGTCTTTTATCATGCTGATTTACTGAAGTGTCTGAAATGTTTATGGTTAATTAACCATAAGTTGCACTGTCAAGACTGAACATGTGCACATATACACACAGATATATATTTTGAAGTCACAGAACTGTCCCAATTTACCAGCAATAAAGGAATGCCACTATTTATCACATCAGCCACTACTAAAAATATCTGTGGCTAGGGAACACATGAGACGTATAATCAGCTTCGTTTAATCATGCTAGGACAGGCCAATAAACACACACATTGGAGGGTTAAAATGTTAAGAATACTTTCAAACATTGGTGTCCACTGGCAATACTTATTAAAAGATGTTGTAAAGAACCACAGTAAGTACCTTTTAGCACTAGTTGAAAGTTTAGCAGCTGTTTTGCTAGAGATTTTGCCTTCTTTTTTCTTGGGTTGAACCTGTTCTCTTTCTTGATCTTGTTGAACGCCTTCCCTCTGGTCTCCATCAGAGCTGCCTCCACTAGTGCTTGGACTATCGTCAACTCTTTGCCCTTCAGTGGACATCTTTAATTCTAAACAGAAAGCAGCAATAAAAAAATAAATGTTGGCTCTGATACTGTGAGAAACAATGTCACTGCCAACAGATTATCCATCAAACTACTGAAGCTTTTTAAAAAACCCACAAGAGAAACACGCATGATTTACAAATACCCTTTCCACAAAAACACTTTCAAGTATGTTTTTGATACAAAAAGACACAGTTTACACAGTAACAAGTAACTGATATAAAGTATGTTACAAAAGAAAACCTTGAAAAGCAAAAACTACTGCTAAATGTATTAGCTAAATACACTGCAGTTGCATTGCTACGGGAGTGCACAAAAAAAAAATCGGAATTTTTCAGGTTCAGATAATGAACCCCAAAAAACAGTATTTCCTGATATTCCTGATTCCCAATATCGGTATGATATTGGGATTCGGGAAATAATTGGGATTCCCAAGAATTTAAAGGGACCATCCCTTTAAATGCGTTTCACTAGCCACAACATGAATGAACCCAGAAAGTTTACCCTTCCGGGTTCACTTGTGCCGCGGCTTGCAAAATGCATTTGAAGGGACTGTCCCTCTAAGTTGTATGCAGATTGGCTGGGGGGGGGGAGATCTTAGGGTCCATGTGCAAAAGGGGGGAGTGTGCCAAACAGCCCCCCTGCAAGCTAAAGGCATCAAACTGGCAGCAACCCTCACTGGGATGCCCCTCTATCTGCTCTCCAAGTTGTATGCAGATTGGCTCTGGGGGAAGGTCCTAGGGTCCAATGTGCAAAAGGAGGGAGTGTGTCAAAAGGCCCCACCAGCAAGCTAGAGGCATCAAACTGGCAGCGGATCTCCAGGTAATGTCCCTCTATCTGCCCTCCAAGTTGTTTACAGATTGGCTTTGCACACTCCTATGGTCCATGTGCAAAATGGGAGGAAGTGTGTTGAACGGCCCCCCTGCAAGCTAGAGACATCAAACTGGCAGCAGACCTGGCAGCAGCTTGCAAAATGCATTTAAAGGGACAGTCCCTTCAAATGCATTTTGCAAGCTGTGGTTAGAGTGAACCCAGAAGAGTGAACCTTTTGGGTTCACTTAAGCCAAGGCTTACAAAATGCATTTCAAGGGATCGTAACATGTGAACCCAGAAGGTTTAAACTGCAGGCCAGGAGAAACTGGCCCCAGGATCTGCATGCAGCGGGAGGTGTCTCCCTGTTGTACACAGACCTGGCTGGGAGGCTTCTCGTGCCCCACAGTGATTCATATTGCCGTTCCAAGCTGAATAATATCAGCTTCCATCAGGATTCTCTATATTGGTAGCTGATTACAGAATCCAATTTGGGTTAGGGAATACCTGAAAAATACCGATAAGGTATTTTTCAGGTATTTATTTGGCTCAGTAAATACCAAATGCACACCCCTACATATTGCTTTAGCACCTAATTCACAATATGCTGTTTACCCATTCCCCTAATGAATATACTGAACATTTTCCTTTCTTCAAAATCCAACCCAAGAAAAAAATTGTGCTTTTTTTAAACTTGAGTTGTCATTTTGACCCTTGAAACTCATTCCTACAGGGTTCAGCATTATTTAACATCTGTGTAAGACCACTGACTAAGATAGTTCAAACTTCAGAGTAACCTCAAGATTGGACGATTGGACAATTGTAATGCAATGTACATGGTGCAACCCTAGAATACAATACACAAGTTACAGTTGGTGTAGAAATCAAAAGCTAGACTGATAGAGGTTAAGCATTTTGACCATGCTACCTCAAATGTAAGATCTCTGCAGTAGCTGGGAATTTGCTTCTGTGCTTGGTTAAAGGAACTGGGTAAGACCTTCATGACCTGGGATCTTCATACCTGTGGGACCACCTCCACCCATATGTGCCCAAAGGCACCTACAATAATCAGCCATGGGATGATTATGTCAGTGAGAACTGTTTCTGCTTGGGCTTCCTCAATGGCCACTCCTGTTTTACAGAAGGATGTGAGGAAGGCCCCAACCATACAAAGATTTCAGAGCCTCTGTATTGCAGCTCCTTTCCAACATGCTTTTGATGGCTTCTATGTGGAAGTCAGTTAATATGATGGGTAATGGCTTTCTGTCTTCTTTTTATTTGGATTGCATTTCTGTGGACTGACATTTTAGCAGGTTTTAATTATCTAAGTTACTTCAAGTACTGGCAGAAAAATAGAACTTAAATATTTTCAATTAATCAGTGCAAGAGCAAAGTCCAGAACAGTTTGGGGAAGAAAATGATGAGCACTTCCGAAAGTGTCACAGTCCACGTTCATGGATCTGAGATTAGGAGGCAAGACTTTGAAGCAAGCTAACATTCTGAAACTATTAAATTTAAATATTCACCACCATTTTAAAACTCTTCTTGAATACTTAATAGTTTTATTTTCCAGCACCACATGTGCACATAAACCATGTAAGCCCCCAAGCTTGACTTAAATACATGCTACTAGTAACATGCAAATTTCCAATACTTGTAATCTGCTAATAACAATAGAAGCAGGCATACAGTGACAGAAAGGAGACAAATACAGAAATGTCCATGTTAAACTCTTTCAGATATAAATATATACTTAAGTTCTTTGCTGAAACAAATGTCTTAAATATAATTAAATTTTGACTGTATCAAGCCATTCTCTTCTACAAATGTAAAATTATGGTAAATATTAAAAACTAGGAATAAGGCCCATTGTGGAAGATAAATACAATGAGCTCTAGAAAGAGGCTCTGGGCAGGTGCCCTGGCCTTGGGCACTCAGCTTCAATTTGCTGTGGTAACCTCAGTAGGGTATAATGACACAGAGTCCAACGTTTTCTCCAAGGGAACTGATCTCTGCCATCTGAAGAGCAGCTGTAATTCTGAGTGATCTCCAGCCTTCCCCTGGAGATTGGCAACAATGATTCTCCAGGAGGAAATGGCTGGTTTGGAGGGTGGAGTTTATGGCAGTGTACCTGTCTGAGGTCCCACGCCTCCTCAAACCCCACTCCTCAAATATCCAGGAATTTCCCAACCTGGAGTTGGCAATCCTATCTCCTTCCCAGCCAACCATCAATCTACCTTTATCTGCTCCTTTGACTTCAGCTTTCCATCCCCCCCCCACCTGGAGCCTCTGCCTAGGAAAAGTACAGTCTTTCTCCGCAGTGGGGACCCAAGCAGGAAGGAATCGACCTCAGCAGTGTATAATGACAGAGAGTCCACCCTGTAAAGCAGCCATTTTCTCCAGGAGAACTAATCTCTGACATCTGGAGAGCAGTTTTAATTCTGAGTGATCTCCAGCCCTCACCTGGAGATTGGCAGCAATGGTTCCCAAGCAGGAAATGGCTGGTTTGGAGGATGGACTCTATGGCATTCTATTCAGCTGAGGCCTCTCCCCTCCCCAAACTGTGGCTTCCGTAGACTCCACCACAAAATATCCAGGAATTTTGTAACCTGGAGCTGGCAACCCTAGTCAGGACTGGCTCCAATAAGTTCCCCACCAGGGCCAAAGTAGGCCTGGAAAGGGTCTTCTGCCTTTGCCTTTTTACTGATAGAACCAAGCTTGGTTGCCTAGCAACAGCCACTGAGATAAAAGTTAGCCCCACAGCAGAAGGAGAAGAGAATGGTTTGACAGCTGGAGGCCCACCTCAGTAGTCAGCCTGTCACAGAAGAGCCAAGCAAAAGTAGAAGCGTCTTTGTCAGGAGAAACAGCCGTTTTGGCAGTTTATTCTGTCAGGGAAGAGTGTCCAGGCTGGCAGTGGGCGGGGGAGAGAAGCAGATCCAGCACCCAGCCTTTTATATATATAGGATAATTATCTTTAGTGTATAGCAGGGGCTGTGTTATGTTATTTTAAACTTGTGCATCACAGGCATGTGAAGTGCAAAGAGGCATGTGAGCAGTAGAGTGTTGCACTCAAATGTATAATCAGCCAGAAAGCATACTGGATGGTTCTGGCCAGTCACTGTCTCTCAGACTAACCTGACTTACAGGGCTGACAGTGAAAAAAAATTGACTCACAGGATGCTACCTTGTCTTGTCTGTTCTCCAAGAAGCACAAAGCAGTAATAAATGAAGCTATTATTAGACACCAGAGTGACACTAGTCACATTTAAAGATTGTTTTCTGCACACTTATGATAGTGAAATGAATGTATTTCAAAGTATTATCACAATCAAGGTGCTAATCATCAGATCCATTACAGCTTTTCTCTTCTGCAATGTCTCATTACTTATCACTGCAGAAAATAGCACAGTATGTATTAACAACTGTATATAGACTTGTCAGGTCCCCCCTGGCTACCAGGGGTAGGGCTGCCAGCTCCAAGACAGGAAACTCTTTGGAGATTTGGGGATGGAGCCTGAAGATGACAGGAACCTCAGTGGGGTACAATGCCAGAGAGTCAATCCACCCCCCAAAGCATGCATTTTCTCCAGAAGAACTGATTTCTGTAGCTTGGAGATCAGTTGTAATTCTGTGAGATCCCCAGGCTGCATGTGGAGGCTGGCATCCCTAGCTACATATCACCAAAAATATCTAATAGTCAGCATGGCCAAATCTGCAGATTCTTAAATCCAGAGATTGGAGTCATGAACAGACAAGACCTTTCTACAAACCTGAAAAGGCACTCCAGGTTTGCAGAAAAATCTCAAATCTTTTTTAAAAAATACACTGGGGAGTTTGCCAGAAAAATCTAAAATCTTTTTTAAAAAAATACACTGGGGAGTTTGCCCCCCCAATTGAAGCAGCATCTGTAGCCTTAATAACATCAGGAACTATTGCTAGGCAACCACAACACTATTGTCAACCTTGGTTTATGTCAATAAAAGGCAATGGAAGGGGGCAGGGCTCTTTCCAGGGTTATTTTTGCCTTTGAGGAAGGTCCTGAAGGGGCCAGGCCAAGCAGCAACCATCGAACAACATGCTACTACTCAACCTGCTTAACTAGAACTCCGCTGCTTGCTACCGTTCAACAGCAGCCCCTAGGGCAGGTACCCATTTGTCTTCTTGAGTTTCAGACTATGATATGGGAGACTGA